CTGGTCCCCTCCTGGGGCTTAAGGGGACGGGGACAACTAGTACTGTGATGGTCCCAATGGTGTCTTTGCTCCTTGGTGCATGATCGAGGTTCTGGGCAGCAGAAACTGAGTGTTCCTGAGCGACCATGGTCTGGCCAGCTCAGTCTGATCCTAGCCTCACCCGTATCTCTGCAGCAATCCCTGGGCTTCGATGTTGCAGCTGTGATGGAGAAAGGCCCTTCTCCATGCTGGGTGGTCCGAGCTTCCCCTCTTCCCCCAGCACAGGAGTGTCCTTCCCTCCTCTGCTTCTCTGCAATGCTGTGCCTGCCTGGGCTGGGACCTCAGGCTGTGCCTGGACCTTGTTCCATTCCTGAACCTCCTGCTAGGACCTTTTGAAGTTTTACCTTGCTTCTGTGAGAAGTTATCACTTTTTTAAAAAAAAAAAAAAAATTATTTTCTTAAATGAATTTACCACTGCTCTTGCCCAGTGCTGGTGGAAAAGCAGCTGTTCTCAGATGTGCTGGGTGCAGAGTGCTTGGGTGTCCCTGGCCCTGTGCAGGGCAGAGAAGACACAGAGCCGGGCTCTGGATTAGCCCTTGTGGGGCCCTGCAACAGTTACCAATGCTGCTGCTCTTTATCTCCTGATTTTTAACTAACAGATGGGAGCTGACCCTGCACGTCCCTTGTGCTCTGGCCAGCGCCTGTTCAGGGCATCTCTGTCCATTCCCTCCTGGCTTCTGGAACTGCCCTGCTTTGGGTTAGAACAGAAGAAACTCTGGTTGGTGATTTCCCTTTTCACCTCCATCTCTTCTTAGTGACAGCACTGCCTGAAGTTCATATCTGCTTCCTGCAGACAGTCTCTCCTCCTGGCACTGATCACACTCTATGTTTGGAGTTTCTGCCAAGGGTTGGGGTGCAGATCAAGGTCACTGCTCAATCTTGTGCCCCACGCTGGGGGTGTGGAAAGTCAAAGGTGGCACCTGTGGGGAGGAGGGACCAGGACAGGTAACACCAAACTGACCACCAAGGGATTCCATCCCATGTTCAGCATATGTGGTGTAAAGCTGAGGGGCAGCAACCTGCTCTATTTGCAGATGTCCCTGCTCTCTGCAGGGGAGTTGGACTAGATGACCTTTAAAGGTCCCTTCCCACCCAAACTGTTCTGTGATCACATGGGTAATCTCTTCTTCAATGACAGATGTCCAATAAGGACTTTGTGCTTTCTGCCTTCAATCCCAAGCCACGTGTTTCTGAATCCAGTTCTGTAATCCATCTCCTGAATATGTTCCCATCTGCCAACAAGGCCATTCTAGGACTTTCTTCCAGGGCCTGCTCCACAGCCTCAGTGATGATGGTGACACCATTGCCATCAGCGGGTTGGATTCTATACTGAGTTTGTGTATTTGTATATTGTCCTGGTTTGGGCTGGAACAGAACTAATTCTGATCAGTGATTTTACTTTTCAGCTAAATCTCTTCTAACTCACAGTACTTTCTGAAGTTAATGGCAGATTTTCACAGACAGTCTCTGCTTCTAGCCGTGTTAACGTTCCATGTTTAGAGTTACCACCAAGGTAAGGTGTGCAGACCATGGTCACTGCTGAATCTTGTGTCCCACGCCGAGGGGTGCAGAAAGCAAAAGGCCACAGCTGCAGGGAGGATTGGCCAGGACAGGTGACCCTGAACTGACCAGTGGGGTATTCCATCCCACGTCTGTCATATTCAGCATAAAGCTGCAGGAACACGAGGGTCAAGTCTCTTCTTCAATGGCCGGCATCCAAGGAGGACTCCATCCATTCTGCCTTCAATCCCAATCTGTGTGTTCCTCAGTCCAGTTCCAGAATCCAGCTCCTGTATACTGTTGCTGTCTGCCAACAAGTCCAGTTTGGGAATTTTCCCAGGGCTTAACAACCTTAGAAGTCTTTTCCAACCTTCATGATCTGATGATTCTACAAACAGCTCCCACGGAACCAGTTTGGTTTCCCCCAGGTGGGACATGAATCTGGTTTGAGGTTTTGCCACCAGCTTTGGGAAAAGGCCACGGCCAGGGATAGGTCAAAAACTGCAAGAACCTGGGAAGTTTCCAAGAGCTATGGACAAAAAAGAAAAAAAAAAAATCTGTGGTTGTGGGAGGTTCTGAGAGGCTGGAATTCCGAGCAAACAAAGGCTGGGGGTGAAAAAAGGAGCTTTGAGGAAAAAGAGAAAAAAGTGCTGTGACCAGCAGCGTGGAGGTTTTTTTTGGGGGGTGACAACTATGAGGTTTCTTTGGGGACTATGAGGGATTTTTTTTCAGTTGTGATTTTTTTTTTTTGGGGGGTTATGAGGTTTTTGAGAGGGGATTACAAGGTTGAGGGGAATTATGAGTTTTTTTGGGGGGAGGTTATGAGGTTTTTGAGGGGCTTAGGAGGGTTTGGGGGTGGTTATGAAGGGTTTGGGGGTGGTTATGATATTTTGGGAGATA